AGTCTACCCTCCAGAGCAAGAGAAAACAAGCTTGCTCTATCTTCAATGTGACATCCCTTGAGATATTTGAAGATGGCTATCATATCTCCCCGGAAACCCTGGAGAGCCACTGCCAGTCAGTGTAGACAATGCTAAGCTAAATCAACCGATTTGGAATAAGGCAGCTTCCTATTTAAAATCTGTTTTTATGTCTGTAAGGTGTATATGTACATGTGTGCTTGTGCTTAAGGTTTGCACTTGGCATACATACATTATGTGAAAATATTTATCAAAAATGCATTGGTCTAAGTAAGGTCTGTAACATATTTCATATTTGCAATCCATTTACATTTGATACTAGGCTATCATCAGTGCCAAATGTAACATATTTTGAAAAACGAGCCTTTAATAAAACTGTCAAAAGTGTACTGTTAAGTCCAAGTGACTGCCAACAGAAACTTCTGAAAGGATGTCATTGGAAGGAAAGAAACAATGCTCGGTTTAGAAGTATCCGTGGTACTTGTAAAAGTTTCTAACATTATTTATGGATTTCCTATCCACTGACCAGCTAGATTGCCAACAACTGTTCTCGTTGTTCTTTAACGTTCAGTTAAAACCATTGTTACTCCTCTTAAATTGACAGGCCATTTCCTTTGTTTGGCATTTGAAGGGGGCGGGGGGGGGATGCTTGGAATATATCTGAAATATATCCATAGAGACAAGAATGTTTATAGAATCGCATGTGTCAAAACCTTGATTCAGCATTAACTACATTACTCTTGTGAATGCCTTTTCATACAGCGTGCCTCCAATAAACACAGAGAATGTGTTTTAAAATTCCCCATCAGTACTGTTTCCCTGCCATATCTTTTGTTGAGCTACGTTTGCCCACAATACAAGCCAAAAACATACTAGAAAGCAGCAGTTAGACAAGGGGTAGGCAACCTAAGGCCCGTGGGCCGGATGCGGCCCAACTGCCTTCTCAAACCGGCCCACGGACGGTCTGGGAATCAGCATGGTTTTTACATGTGTCCTTTTATTTAAAATGCATCTCTGGGTTTTTGTGGGGCCTGCCTGGTGTTTCTACATGCGTAGAATTTGTGCTTTTATTTAAAATGCATCTCTAGGTTATTTGTGGGGCAAAGGAATTTGTTCATCCCCCCCAAAAAAAATAGTCCGGCGCATCACATGGTCTGAGGGACGTTGGACTGGCCCACGGCTGAAAAAGGTTGCTGACCACTGAGTTAGACCGTTGTTATAGAGACCTACTTGAGAGAACCATTGCCATTTCTAAACTGCTGTTCCTGAGCAAGATTCCTGAGCCCATTGCATGAAAATTGTGTAAGGGCACAATCAGGGCCAGCTGCAGGTTTGAGAAGTCTCTTGGTGGGCCCTGGAAGCCTTACCTGGTAATAGCAGGTGGGCAGCACGGCAAAACAATACCAGGTTCCTGGGTCTAAACACCATTTTGATATTCTATAATGCCCCCCCCCAGTAGTGTCCTTCTGGGGCACTGTGGGAAATTAAAATGGTGGTTTGACTCAGCTGTCCAGCTCCACTGAGAGTTCCAGGCACAGAAAACATTTTTAAGAGGACTCTGGGCAATAATAGGCCCTGCCAGCTGCCCAAGAAGGCTGGATGCTGATTTCGGCTCTGGGCAGTGGCATTGCGTGGGTGGCCAGCCCCCAAAACAAGGCAAATATCCTTGGCATTGCCCACCAATAGTTGGAATAAAGCGGCAACAGCTTGGTGACCTACTCATGTGGCAGCCCCCGTGTGTGGAGAGCACGGCAGAGAGTAGGACAGAGAATTGGTGGGGAACAGGTATCTTTCTAAAGCCCTACAGAGGGTGTCCTAGCAACTGGCCATCAAATCCACTCCTCAGTCCGCCCACATAAACATTGGGAGATTTTCTCTGCGAGGAGGAAGGAACACTATTTTTATTTATTATTACTTCTTTCTTTCTTTCTTTGAAAATATGCTCCCCTAAGAATTTTGCGCACAGGGCAACTGCCCCGTGGCCCTGCCCATTCTACGCCACTGGCTCTGGGTATGAAACCTGAAGAAGGAAGGAAGGAAGGAAAAAGGTAAAGGGACCCCCCCCGACCGTTAGGTCTAGTTGCAGACGACTCTGGGGTTACGGCGCTCATCTCACTGGCCAAGGGAGCTGGTGTACAGCTTCCAGGTCATGTGGCCAGCATGACTAAGCTGCTTCTGGCGATGCAGAGCAGCGCACGGAAATACCGTTTACCTTCCCACCGGAGCGGTACCTATTTATCTACTTGCACTTTGACGTGCTTTTGAACTACTAGGTTGGCAAGAACTGGGACCGAACAATGGGAGCTCACCGCGTCGCGGGGATTCGAACCACCGCCCTTCTGATCAGCAAGCCCTAGGCTCTGTGGTTTAACAGAGCAAATAACACTGAAGGGCAGCACAAGTCTTTTCGAGGATTTGCCATGAGTTCACTGAGTGGACAGCTGGAGCTTTCTCAAGTGCTTGATCTGTATATAGAGGCAGCAAAGAGACAAAAAACAAAACCCCATTCGCACTTAAAATATCACAGTGTATAAGCATTTCTCGCCGCCCCTTATATTGGAGATTGTGTGGGTGGAAATTGTCATTCATGAAGTAGCCTTTTCCTTTCTTTTTTTGCAACATCTGGTAATAGCACCCAGTAAAAGCAAAGTTGATAAATAAATAATGATGGCTGGGGTCATGCCATTATTTATTTATTCATTTTTGGTTATTTTTATACTGTCGGTGCAAAGGCTCAAGGTGCTTCACACACACAAATACAAATGGAGAAACAGGGCGGTAGCAAGATGCTTAAACGTAGTCTCCAGTATGACTGTGATTCCTGTTTGATTGTCAGGAGTCAGCTAGAAGGAATCCTTAAATTGTCGTGGGATAATGTGTCAGGACAAGCAGGTTTACTAAACTTTCCCTCCCTCTAATCCATTTTAATTTGCAATTTGCATCACTGCAGAAGAAGAGACTTCTGCAGAACAGGAAGCAGTATGTCCGTTTCCCCAGCCACTCTGGGCGGCGTACAGCACATGAAAAATGTAAAACATCAGACATTAACCTCACATCGCTTGGTCATTTTAAGAGGGCACCAATAAAAAAAATCTCATGCTTCTTGTGCGAAGCAGTAAGCACAATTACATGTCACCCATCAAGCAATTTCAAATACTATACTTCATTACATATCACCTGTTGGTATATAGACCCCTCAGCAGCTTAAGGGATTGCCTTGCCCCATTTATATTTGCCCTTTTTATAGTATTACTGGATAAGCACTTTATAGGAATGTTGTCTATTGTACTTTGTTCTCATTGTTACCTGGTTTTTAACTGATTTTAGATGTATTTTGTGGTACTGCAAGACACTTCGAAACATTTTGGTAAAAATTGGTTAATAAATGCAATAAATAATAGCAATAATATCTGCTTGATCTTTACGTTCAGCTCAGAGTAGCACTATAAAAAGGGTGCCACATATGTTTGCCTTGTGAACAAGACAGAGGGCATTTATTGTGTCTATGTTTAAGTTGTGGCTGACTACTGTTAAGCAAGTGGCACTGGAACATTCAGACGCCTGCTTAGGATGCTTCAGTTTGTACAGAGCTTTTCTGTGCTATAGCACAACTATTGTTTATTGTGTATTATTGTCGAGATGCTAAATATTTTTTGCTGTTTTATGAGTGTACTGTATTACATTGGCCTAGACACTTTGCTTATTGTGTGGCATATAAGCCTAGGAGCAAGGTGTGAGGAACCTTTGCCCCCCACATGTTGCTGAACTCTATCATTCCTGGTCATGGGCCATGCTTGCTGGGGCTGATGGGAATTGTAGTTCGTCAACATCTGGTTAGAATGGTCCAACACTATCAAATAGCAAATGGCAGAATGGATGGGGTTATGAAACCTAAGAAATCCACTGATTCAGATCTTATCAGATGTGCAGGAAATCCAGAAGACAGATTTCACTCAACCTGCACAACATGTAGACCCTACAAGATGGGTGACCAACTGTCATGGAAGTTTTAGTTGAGGTTCCAGCATTGCAAGGGATTTTACTAGATGACCCTCAGGGGTCTCCTTCCAACTCTACAATTCTATGATTCTGATACCCTTTTTAGCAAGGGCACAACTACTCCTAGAGGTAAAGGTAAAGGGACCCCTGACCATTAGGTCCAGTCGTGACCGACTCTGGGGTTGCGGCGCTCATCTTGCTTTATTGGCCGAGGGAGCCAGCGTACAGCTTCCGGGTCTTGTGGCCAGCATGACTAAGACGCTTCTGGCGAACCAAAGCAGCACACAGAAACGCCGTTTACCTTCCCGTCGGAGCAGTTCCTATTTATCTACTTGCACTTTGACATGCTTTCGAACTGCTAGGTTGGCAGGAGCTGGGACCGAACAACGGGAGCTCACCCCAATTCGAACCGCCGACCTTCTGATCGGCAAGCCCTAGGCTCTGTAGTTTAACCCACAGCACCACCCGTGTCCCTACTCCTAGAGGTAGGTGGCGGGTTTTGCCCTCCCTGTCGCATTGCCCACAAGTGCATGGATTTACCATTCTCCAGGAACGAATGACGTCACTAGCCCACAGCTGCGTGGCCAATGACACCGTCCCATTTGCCCACGGACGCACTGGCGCGCTGCGCCCCTTGCCCGCTGCCCAGGTAGCCCCTGAGACACACGCAGGACCTCCCGTCGCCCCTCAGAGGCGGCAGCTGCTTTGTGGGTGGGGGGAGCCCTGAAAAGAGGCTCAACCTGCTCAAGCAAGCCTCTGAGCGGGAAGTCTTCCTGGTCCCTTCGGGCTGTCGGTGCCAAAGCTGCTGCTGACGGGGCTGGAAGAGCCACCCACCGTCGCCCGCTTGCTGCTGGCTGCCTCCCTTTCGTCCTCGCCTGGCTGGCGTCGTGCTGGAAGAGGCAGCATTTTCCCGTCAGGGGGCGACGTGAGGAGGAGGAGGAGGCAGCACAGAGGGGCGGGTGCTATGGGTGACAGGCGGTCACAGGTGCCGCGGCCGCCTCTTGAGTCGGATGAGAGGCGCCTCCGCGCCCCAACCAGCTGCCGCCGCTGCTCCCCTCCCTCCACCCTGCGCGCTGCTGCTGCTGCTGCTGCTTCAGCCGTCAGCCAAGGGCAGCTCTTCCGAGGCGGCGCGTGCAGGGACAGCAGCACGAGCCGAGCAGCTGCGCGCGAGGGAGCCGGGGAGAGAGAGAGACACACTCGCGCCTGGCAGAAACCAGTAAGTTGCTGCTCCTGCGAGCCGCTGTTTGCAGCACGAGCTGGCTCTGTGGCTGCAGCCGCGGCGATCTGCTTACTTATTGTTTTATTTTGTATCTGCTCGCCCCGTGAAATCGTGGGGAGGGCAGGAGCGGCGCGTTGCATGCAGGAGCCAAATGCGGGCTTGATCGGCCCGGGCTGGAGTCGCGGAAGGGGTTGTCGCGAGGCCACGGCGACGACGGCCGGCTGCCCTCGGCTTCGACACACGCGCAGCCCCCCCTGCGTTTGGTCTTTTCTTTTTGGCTCAGGCAACGGGGAGTGAGGATTGCGCGGGGAGCCGCCCAGCGCTGTAGGATGGCTCCTGCTTTGTGTGTGATGTCAGTGAAGAGCGGAGTCGGAGATATAACGGGAGGGCTTTGCCAATTGTGGGGGGAGAGGGGTGTTAAGGTGACACAGGAGCCACTGGCAGGGCAGGCTCTGAAGCGCCTATAGCGGCTGCAACGCAGAGAACAGGCGCAGTCCAGCCTCGATAGCCTCGCAGAATGGACACCCCCGTCTCGCAGTGCAAATAGGGGGCCCTCTAGGGAGAGATTGTGCGCGATCTGCACATAATTTTAATGCGGCGTCTTTGACAATCAGGGGAAGAGATACGGGCTTGTGTATCTGTGTCTCTTGCGTGTTAACGGGCAGGAAATCTCCCAAGCCACCTTCTTACAAATTCTCTCCTGTGTAGAAATGGTCTGTAATTTCCAGTCGGAGCTTTACAGTGAATTGTGCCTGCTGTCGGTGAGCAGAATCGGTGCATAACCAGATATGAAATTCTAAAGCTGATCTGCTGATAGCCACACACTGCATGATTATTTATTACACTTCTCATACCACTCTTCCTCTAAAGAGCCCAGGAAGATGTACATGGTTCTCTTGCCCCTCTCCTTTTATCCTCACAACAATCCTGCAAGGTAGTTTAGGTTGAAGGATGGTGGTGCGCTGTCAAAGGGTGCTTATGTGTTACAGTATTTCAGGGCTTAGTATGGATTTGAACCTAGTTCTTGCTAGTCCTCAGCTGACATTCTAACCACCACTATGCCAGTTTTGCTTTTCTGATTTTTTTTTATAATGTTGTGACAGTTCACATCATCAAGCTTGATACCAGGTACATTGACGAGTAGCTGCCCTGTTTTGTAGGCTTTTACATTCATCGAATGAATAAAAATCAATGTGCAGATCCCTCTTTAGCAAAAGCCAGGCGGGCAGGCATGCAACCCATTTTCATGCACCAATGTTGTCATTCATTAGCGCACACGTTAAAGGAGGAGCTCAAACAGGGACGTGGCTTCTTTCATGGTAGTAGCGTAGCTGCAAAACTAATGTTGCATGCTGGTTGTTTCTTTTTTAATTATTTTAAAACCCTGCAGATTTCGTTTTCTCTGAACCGTATCCAAATGTAAATTGCAAGTCTTTGCTTCAGGAGTCCATTGTATTTTCTTTTCTCTTTTTTTAATAAAAAAATCAATATTTTCAATTGTGCACTTTTGGATGAACCAATTTAAAAATAAAAGGTTGCTCTCTTGCTGAATTACTGCATAGTCAAGCAGCTGTGACCTTAATTGCCTTAAAGGAGATACAGAACAGAAAACCTGGAGTGAGTGCACAAATCCTGGAAGATAGGCTAGAAGTAGCCCTTACACATGCACAACTACCATATTTCTCTTAAATCAGCTGACATTTATTTTTCCAGCCATGCTGTGGAGGTGGACATTAATTTGAGAGGACATGTTAAATGGAAAGGGGTGTTACCTTAACTCTGCTGTGCTTGCTCTGCCCTTTTCATAGAATCCTTAATTAGGTCTTTGCTTCCCTGTTTGCTGTTCTGTCAGCTGTAGCTTATGGACGTTTTTGCATCTGAAGCTTAAATCAGGTGGTGCTTAAATTGGCCTCTAATATTAATGTAAAACATTAGCTATAATGTACACTTGATTTACCTTCCTTAATGTAGGATGGAATAACAGCATTTGTATGTGGTATACAAATAGTACTGAAGGGACTCATAAAACTTAAGTAGTGCCTTTCTGGATCAGAGCAGAAGCCCTGTGTTCAGTCTTCAACAGCAGCCAGCCAGATGTTCCTGGGAATCTCACCAAGAGGGCAAGATGGTCTCTACTGTTTGATCCCAGTTTCTGTTTTGCTGTTGGGTGTAATAGCCATTGATAGACCTCTCCCCCCATGGATTTGTGGGCTCCTTTAGAAATATTAGCATGCTAAATTGGGGTGTGGGTGGCACTGTGGTCTAAACCACAAAGCCTAGGACTTGCCTATCAGAAGGTCGGCGGTTCGAATCCCCGCAATGGGGTGAGCTCCCGTTGCTCGGTCCCAGCTCCTGTCAACCTAGCAGTTTAAAAGCACATCAAAGTGCAAGTAGATAAATAGGTACCACTCTGGCGGGAAGGTAAACAGCGTTTCCATTCACTGCTCTGGTTCGCCAGAAGCAGCTTAGTCATGCTGGCCACATGACCCAGAAGCTGTACGCCGGCTCCCTCGGCCAGTAAAGCGAGATGAGCACCGCAACCCCAGAGTCATCCGCAACTGGACCTAATTGTCAGGGGTCCCTTTACCTTTAGAAATATTAAGCTGGTGGCCACCATAGCATCACTCTAGCTTGCTTGTTTGCTGGATTTAGAGCCCAGCCAATCCCAAGGACTCAGCGTCAATAATTATATTAATGTCATCTATCCATCCATATCCCTGTCCACCCAAACCCAATGTGAATAAAGCTTTCAATCTTACAACACTTCAGCTCAGAGTTTGGTGAGCTTCTTTGGAGGATGATCTCAAAGCTGTGTGGCATGCCTTAGTGTGACTCTTGTAGGCCCAGTTTGGCACTTGGTGTATTTTAGAGAGAGTTCCTGATTGGTCTTGGAGGACAGGGTAGGACCTAAGACTGCAGATAGTTTCCTAGGTTTGTGGGGCCCTGACCGCTTAGTGAATCCTGTAAGTTAACTATGGGTTGCGGTGGAGTACTTATTTCCCTTTAATAGTCCTTTTTAGTTTCACATGTGAAAATTGTGATTTCCCTTAAAACTAGGTTTAGCCTCATTCTCTCCACAAATATATAGCTCCTTTTAGATGCTGTGTGCTTTACTATGTTAATTACAGTTGGGATACAGCTATTAAGTTGTCAGGGTGTCATCTTGTCAGAGTGTGTGTTAATTTCATTCATTCCATTCCCTTTGGCAGTTTTCCTACATTCACTCTCTATTCTTCACACTCTACTAGTAGGGCTTCCATTTATAGAGAGATGGCAAATATATCTGGTGCAATCAGGGAGTGGCATTTAGTTAGACACAGCTAGAAATGGGCTTTTAAAGGAGTACTTGGGCAGGGAGTGTGTAAAAACTGGAGTCATTTGTTGTACCCATTTGTCCAAAATTCATCATTGTCCACTGTACAAGGAAACAGGATATTGTTCACAGAGAACAATAAGAAGCTTTAAGAAGTCTCTTAGTTTCTTGCTGCTTCACTGATTGTCTAGTACTCTAAATTGATGCCATTTGGATTACTTGTTCTCACCAACTCCCAGTCTTTTTTACGCTTTGATCCTAAACACATTTGCTTGGAATAGAGGTCATCAGCCCCTCACAAGATGCTGTGTGTAGTATTCTCATGTTGCAATTTTGAATACAGCACACCGCTGCTAGAAAACCAGGAGGTTCATACAATTTGCAGTTATTGAGACATGTTGCAATAATAACCACAAGCTGCCTTCCTGCATACCTTTCTGCAAGTGTAACATATAAAAAGTAGGAGAGGAGTAGCAGTTGTAAAGCTAGGAATGTATGGCAAATGCTCTGTGTGAAGCCAGAAGAACTGGAGCATATCTCTACACTACAAGCTTATAGATGTCTTAAGTATCATTATTTCCCCCAAAGAATCTTGGCAACTGTAGCTCAGTGTGTGTGCAGGGAAGTACAGGAAGGAGGTTCCCACACAGTACTACAATTCCCAGAGCTTTCTTGAGACTGTAGTTCACATATGGCCAGCATTATTAATATAACAACCTCTTCTGTCAGCAAACTTCATCATATTTCTGCTCCCTCCAGAAAGCTGGATTCTTTGAAATACAGTACATCAAGGTGGTCCAAAACCCACACACTACAGCAACCTTCACCATCCTGTGCCCTCCTGATGTTTTGGACTTTAGCTAGGGCTGGTGGGAGTTGTAGGCCAGAACATCTGGAGAGCACCCGGTTGGTGAAGGCGGCACTACACAAATCATCTTATGCTATGCAAAAGTGGAGATAGGATCACCCTGCTCTGCCCTACTTTCATAGTAATCCCCTTCCTACTAGGAATCTTGAGATGATCCCAGAACCTCCATAAAGGAAGGTCAAGGTCATAAAGCTGAGGTCAAGTGGGGCATGGATTGAATTTTATGCGCTTGTTGGAACAAGGAGGGAAGTTTGCACTCAGCCTGGGAGACAACCTTTTTATTTAACACCTCATCTGCTAGCCAGAGGCCACCAGGAATTCTGCACAAGCACTGAATGAGCTGGCAAGACATGGGACTCCATTTTCCTCCTCCAGGTTGCTTGGTTGAGCAAGGAAGGAAAGTGAATCCCTCAGTGCAGTCCCTTCTCTGCCAGCTCACTTGGGAGAATACACCTTTTGCTTTCTTTCTGTTTTACTAGCCTGTTAAGAGGCCAGTGACCTGGATTTTCATGCTGGACGTGGAGGAAAGGGATCCATGAAAATCCAGGATGCTAGCAGGCTCTTAGCAGGCAGGCTAGTAAAATATATTGCAGGCAAATAACTTTTGTGGACTCTTACACCAGATCCTGCATGCTAGTATTGTACATCAGATCACAAGATCATGTCTGCAACACTCGTGATGAGAAGGCCAGACAACTGGGTCAAAAATGCCCTTCCTTGCCACTGGGTAAAGTGGATTAGTTTCAGGGATGAAAATGTTTTCTTCATTCTAGTTAGGCTGTTTATTCAGTGCTAGGGGAAGGTGACTCCTTCCATGACTCTTCATCATTTTCATATGACAGGGTCTATTACAACAGGAGATGAAAGGCAAAGGAGTTTACAGTCATTTTAAAGCTTGGGAGGTACTATCAATTATAGCAGTAGGGCGTGTTAAGTAGGGATTTCAAGGATTAGCTAAAACTGCGTAGACTTCAACAAGAAACAATGTAACATCTAAGATTCAAATATACTATTTTAAAAAGGATGTACGGTGCCAATGTTTTTTTAATATTGTTTACCTAATGTTATAATAATAATTTTACATCTCTGTTGTTAGATCTTGTCATATGAAAATGATGAAGAGTCATGTAGGAAATCACCTTTCCTAAGAATAAACAGTTTAATATTATCCGATTACTAGTAGTATAGGCTATTTTTAGGTTTCACGCAGTGTTGCAGACATCTAGATCTGATGTGTATCAGCAGCACAGGCTGGTGAGTCCACAAAGAGGTGACAGAATATATTTACAGTTCGCCTGCTGGTTTCCAGCATCCTGACATGGCCCATGTCCAGCATGAAAATCCAGGTCACTAGCCTGTTAAGAGGCCAGTGACCTGGATTTTCATGCTGGACGTGGAGGAAAGGGATCCATGAAAATCCAGGATGCTAGCAGGCTCTTAGCAGGCAGGCTAGTAAAATATATTGCAGGCAAATAACTTTTGTGGACTCTTACACCAGATCCTGCATGCTAGTATTGTACATCAGATCACAAGATCATGTCTGCAACACTCGTGATGAGAAGGCCAGACAACTGGGTCAAAAATGCCCTTCCTTGCCACTGGGTAAAGTGGATTAGTTTCAGGGATGAAAATGTTTTCTTCATTCTAGTTAGGCTGTTTATTCAGTGCTAGGGGAAGGTGACTCCTTCCATGACTCTTCATCATTTTCATATGACAGGGTCTATTACAACAGGAGATGAAAGGCAAAGGAGTTTACAGTCATTTTAAAGCTTGGGAGGTACTATCAATTATAGCAGTAGGCAAAGCAATTAACATGAATTTAAAAACATTAACTTGTAGGTAAGCCCTGCTCATCTAAATGGAACATCCTTTTAAAATAAGTATATTTGAGATGGCAGCCTTAGATGATTTTACGGTCAATTTCTTTTCTTGTTCCAAGTGTATCTACTTGAGTTTTGTTTAACAATCCTTGTCCTAAATTAGGATAGCACATTCTTGAAGTATATGGGGATAACTATTGGGTTGTGCATTTAAAACCTCTTGCTCAGGGCTGGTGCAGATGTAATACTGGCTCTCTCTCAACCAGCCAACTGGAAAATTAGGATTTCATTGCCCTTTCCCCCTTTAGCTTCTTCCTCATATGGACCAAATCCTTCATCCCGCCTAAATCACAGCTAAAGGGCACAGCAAGAGTGCCCCTGTTAACCATGGTTGAAGCTAACCAGGTCCCCTCTTGAGCAGGGTTTGTTAACCAGCTACAAAGCCAGATTTTAAATCCTGGTGAAGGAGGATGCCTAACTTGCATTAAATGTGTTTCATGTCAGTGCTCTTATAGCCATTTATTGTAGTTATGGCAGGGGAGAGGAATTTTCCCAGTGAGGGAATGCCACTCGTCCATCTGTCCTCTAAAGTGGTCTAGGTGGGAGCACATTTGTGATGGAGCCAGGGCAAAAAGGCCTCTTATTGCGCACCAGCAGACACATTCAAGTGCTTAGAAGGAGTGGGTGGGAATGTAAAAGGCCGCCCCACCCATTCCCTCCCTCCTCCTGGTCTTAGAACTAGTGCCCAGCCTGCCTTTCCCATTTACAGATTGGGGTTCGCTGGTTGTTGTGATGGGGGTGAGTAGGGATTTTTTGATCAGCTGCGATTGATTGACTGGCAGTCCCTTTTTCTTTTTCTTTCTTTCTTTTTTTTTTGCCTACTCCATACTGTAGAAGAACATGGTTGGTGCACTTAGAGGCGGGAGCTGAATAAATGGCTTCATTGGTTTGGTCACTTGTCAAGCATGCATGAGAAAGGGAAGAGGCTGGCACAAAGAGCACCCTGAGGCGCTTTTCGGGTGTATAGTTATTCCAAAGACTATCACTTTTCAGGTTGTGTGATTCATGGGGCAGGTTATAGATCAGTTTTGAGGCTAACCTATTTGGAGTTGTGGGGTCTAAGGGGGTGTGAGTCAGGAAACTCTCCTTCTTCAGCTGAAGGGGTCAAGTGCAGTGAAAACGCAGTATAAAGGCCAACTTTTTCCCCTGCAGCACAGGCTCACCCAATCGTAATATGCCTAGCAGACTGATAAATAATATGGAATATTTCCCACGCATTGGCTTCCTTCCCCTCTGAGTATCACAAGTTTACAACTTGTCATTAGTAAAGTGGTATGTGTTTGAACTCACACCTTGCGTCTTGCCTGTTTATTTCTGGTATCCTCACACAATGTACAATTTAGTGGCCCTGTTTAATCATGTTTAAGAGACAGGCAGCATTTCACCTGCTCTGGTAACAACAAACAAACAAACAAACAAACAAACAAACAAACAAGTTATTCAAAAAGAACAGTACATTTTAGTGTATTTTTGGTCTCTGTGGAAGCCGCCCAGAGTAGCTGGGGAAACCCAGCCAGATGGGCGGGGTACAAATAATAAATTATTATTATTATTATTATTATTATTATTATTACAGAAGAGGAAGTGATGATATACCCCAGCTAAACAACGGAAATGGAGTGGATATAATAAGTTTTAATCTGATGCCTCCATCATGGCCTACTGTAGGTAGATAATTATTGTTTCCCTATTGTTCTCCCCTATTGTTTCCCTAATATTATTTTCATCTTGATTCTAAGCCTGTTTCCGTGAAATGAGTAAGTCCATTGATTTCAGAGGTTGATTTCAGAAAGTGTGCCTGGGATTGTGGTGTTGTCTTCCTTTCTTCAGTGATTTGATGCGAGTCTCACTAATTTCAGTAGAAATTGCTTCCAGATTGTCACACATCTGCATTTGAGGGATAGTAAAATTCTTCATGCCTCTCAGCAGGATGATATAGATGACAAAGCTACCCTGTGGTGAGAAATTTCACCTCAAGAATAGTTTATCTTTGTGGGAAGAGACTGAGAGACATTAGTCACAAAAAGTAAAGATGGGATATCAGAAAGTATCATTGGTGCTTAGATACCTTTCTCTTCAGAGGATTTCTTGGATCCAATTTATATTCATGCTAAGGATGATTTCACATATGCTAGAATATAAGTTCATAACCAGAAAAGCATGAAACTGCTACCATCCCCTTGTTCATTCAAGCTGTTACCTCAAAATGGAAACTAATTGAATATTCGTATTACATATTAGCTATCACTTTTGATGGGTTTACTGTATATCTTTTCTGATAAGTTAGAATCTATTCAATTGCCTTAGTTTCCTCTGCTCAAGGAATTGTCAGGTTTCTGTGGGGATCCCTTGCAAAGACGTACAAGCAGTCTCAAATAACTTCATTTTCCAGGATTCCCTTAGGCAAGGTGTGACAATTAAAGTGGTATAAATACTGTTGATGGCGTAAAGTTGCATTTCAGATTATGGCTACCAGCCACCCAGTCTGGAAATGGGGAGGAACCAAATCTGCATTGGCTCCTTTTTGGCTTCTAGGCATAAGGTGCCCTATAAAATCTTAATAGGTTTCAATGCTCACCACACCATTTGTTTGTTCCTTGCTTCCATCCCAACTTTTCAGATCAACCTCCTGCACCTTCTTGACGGTACCATTCATGTGCCAGCTTCAGTCAGCAAGGGCACATAGAGAGGCATTGCACATGGCTGCTCTGTAATTGTAAAAATCTGTTCCCTTTAAAGCCCATCAAAATCCAAGTCCGGGTGCCATGTTGAATCGCTGGAAGGTTGATTTGTTTGGGCTGATGCTGTCCTAGAAAGAAGAAGATTGATTTGTTGGGGCTGATGCTCTACTAGAGAGGAGAAATGTGGCTAGATACCCAAACAAATAAACTGCTTCCAGGGGTGTCCCCTCCCTGCCTTTGGCATGTGGCTAGTGCTTATTATCTTAAGTCAGTGTTGGCCAAACTTGGCCCTCCAGTTGTTTTTGGACTACAGCTCCCATCATCCCTAGCTAACAGGACCAGTAGTCAGGGATGATGGGAATTGTAGTCCCAAAGCAGCTGGAGGGCCGAGTTTGGCCATCACTGTCTTAAGTGAAAGAACTCGATTTAGGCTTTTATGCCCACCTGTCATGGAAGTCCTGATTCTCAATCCTACGGATGTGCAGACAGGCTTGGTGGTAAGGGAAAGAATTCTTTACATACTCAGAGGCTTGGCGTTTATACTTAGCATATTTCTTGCCTCGTATTGCAAATATATTCTTTCATTGAACCCTGGCGATCCCTGCATGTGGCAAATTGCTTGAAAGGGTTTATTTTCCTAAACCTATTCTTTATCCTACAGGCAGCAGCTGTGGCACAATGTGTCTCCCCCACCCTCTTGCTGGTAGGCATGGAAGAATGCACCTCTCCGTTCAGGGAGTTATGCTGTCTGAACTTCAGATACAAACCAGCGCTAGAATTCTGATTTTGGAACAGAGTCTGACATATATCTGATACACATATCCAGACACATCTGGATATTTGGCTCTTAAAAGGAATTCTCAAATGTCACTCTCTATTACCAAGCTGGCATTTTACATGCGTTTTGTAAACTATATTATGTTTTACAGAAGAGGCAAATTTTCTCTCTCTCTTCATGCATGTTTCACATATTGTTTGTATGGGAGTAACTGGATCTTCTCATCTAGGCCAGAGTTAATTTAGACTAAAATCGCTTTAAATTGCCTACCACAATTAGTCATTGACTATCATTTTGCATTTGATATAACCCCCTCTAGCTTTGCTATAAAATCAAATTAACTGTTGAGGATAATATGGTTTAACTTAGATTCCTAAACTCTCTTTAATTTAATTTATTCTCTGAGGTGAACAAGCTAGAGGCTGGGATGTTGTGGAAGACAAGAGACATATACTATTATTTTGTCTATGTTTTTCAGGATGCACATTCCATATACACAGTGAAGGGTCTGTTTTCAGTTAGAGATACCAAGAGCTGAGTAATCTTAGGATGTCTAGAATGCCTGCTGCCAGTGTTACTAATGATAAATTCCCAGTAGGGAGTTGTCTTTGCTGTCGGATTACCATTTACGTTTTCAAATTCTGATAATGAGCTCTACTTTGGGCAAACACTCCATTGTGGGGCTTTGGTTACTATATTCTCAGCCCCCCCCCATAAAATTCTATTCAATTCTGCTAATAACTTTGTAGGTAGTGGTGATCAGTTCCCATTCTGGCCGATTCTCAAAGCCATATCGACTATGGCAGCTGCTGCATGAACTGACTTCCACATGCAGGCATGACCACATGAAGGCCAATGGCATGGCTTCATTTCCATTGACGTTGAGTTTGCATTGACAGGCTGCTAGTGTGGCTTATTAAGTGCTCAAGAGTAGTGTGCAAAAACCATAAGATGTTGTTGTTTGCATAGCATTGGCCTTCAGTGACCCTCACTGAGCATGCGGCCAGCAGGAGAAAGTTAGTATGCCTTGTGGCCACTGTAATGGAGGTGGTTGTGACAATATGCTTCCACAGATGATGGCTAGAGTGACACAGGTGGCACTGTGGTCTAAACCACTGAGCCTCTTGGGCTTGCCAGTCAGAAGGTTGGCAGTTCGAATCCCCGCAACCCCATTGCTCTGTCCCAGCACCTGCCAACCTAGCAGTTTGAAAGCATTCCCTTGCAAGTAGATAAATAGGTATCACTGCAGCAGGAAGGTAAACGGGGTTTCCGTGCGTTCTGGTTTCCATCACAGTGTTCCGTTGCGCCAGAAGCAGTTTAGTCATGCTGGCCACATGAACCGGAAAGCTGTCTGTGGACAAACGCTGATCCCTTGGCCTGAAAGTGAGATGAGCGCCACAACCCCATAGTTGACTTTGACTGGACTTAACCATCCAGGGGTCCTTTACCTTTTACAGATGATGGCTGTGGTCTCGAGTTTCATAGAGGTTTCGCTGAGCACGTGGAGCTCTGTGGGGGCAGAGACTGATGATTAACCATGTAAGTGCTAGAAAAAAATGTGCCTTGTGCACAATGATCCTAATTCTGAGGAGGCAATGATGATAAGAACGATGATAAGAATAATATAACAATGTGACATGTCAATTATGCAAACATCTGACTATAATTATATCCAATCCCATTGCATGGTGGTAGAAAATTTTGTATATTTAAAAAGGAGTTGCTCTAAAATGTGACAGAATAGTAAGGATGTAGGAGAATCGTATCCCATAAAGATATGCAATACATGATAGACGCATTTCACCATTTGCTTTGATAATGTTTTCACAGTAAGAATGGACAGTAATAATAATTCCTGCATTGTAGGGGGTTGGACTAGATGACCCTTGGTTCTCTTCCAACTCTAAGATTCTATGATAATTCCATACTTCAAGTGGCATTCAAAAATACTTGCCTCAGGACAGGAGTAGGGTAGCAGCAGCTGTGGGAGGTGGCATCACCTTGCCTGACTATGCTGAGGGGTTCCTACAGTATGACACTGCCTTAGAGTGATGTTTACCTGGAAAAAGAATTTTCTTAATCGTGACATTCACTCTGTGGAATGTTCTCTTCAGGAAGGCTTTCCTGGTTCTAAATCTGCAGTGGGGCCTTTTAGATATATGGATTTCATAGCTTGCAAAAGAGGTAAAGCTATGTATTTCCACACAACTTACTCCTAAAAGCCCACTCCATGGGATGGTCTCAGACCTAACACTGAGCAGAGAAAAGTTGGATATAATCCATGAAGAAGCAAAAGTGTTCTTGAACTACTCTGATTCTTCTCCACGGTGCATGTTCAGAAGAATTTGTCCATGGATCATATCCCTTACTAGTTTATCAGTTTTATACTTTCTCAGGGACTAATTCTTTGGGTAATATCTGATGAAAATAATGAGTCTCGAATACTTTGAGAAGTATGGAGTTTCTTTAAGCTAAATATATGGGATTGTTGGCATCGAGATAAATTGCAGTTCCACAGGGGTCACTGGAAGAGCTTTAATTTCAACTCAGTTAACCTCAGCTAATTTAAAATGCATTAAAAATGTTTAAATCATATGCTTTCACTCAGGCTTTTTACATCAGCCCTTGCATGTAGCTAGTGGTCAAAAAATATATATAGGGGAGGAACCTTTTCTTAATTTACCATGGAAAATCAACTCAATTAACCAGCATAAATCCAGTCCTGAGACATTAGCTATTGGAATTAAATGCCAAATCAATTTGGTGTTTTGTCAGTTGATAGTGTCTGAGCCTAAAATCCTGCAGTGTCATTTGCTCTCTTGTTTAGTTTGGCTTAAGACTAAAGCAAAGTCTTTTGCATTTGGGAGTCTACCAAAACTTGGCAGTTATATCTATTTGCCATGGAATCCCTGGCCTGACACACCCAAGATCAAATATTTGATTGGATATACCTTGTTGCTTGTGAATGTTTCCAGTATTAGAAATTTAATGTTCTTTTGATCATATTGTGCAGGTTTGGATATAATGCTAAACCATGGTTTAGTGATAGGAGAACAGGCCTAGGCAAACTCCTTTCTCCTACAGTAGGCCACAAATAAGAGTTCAGAAGCTTTGGTTTCTGTTATAGATTAGTCAGAGCTTGCCATGTTGACCAAATCCAACACAGTTTACACTCCATGTATGTATGAAGTGTATGAAGATGCCTTGTTTCAACAAAGCATAGTTATGATTAACTACAGTTTAGGATTTGGATGTGTGGATAATCTGAAGCAAAGCTTCCAGTGTCATTGCAGAAGTGCTGGAGGACAGAGAGAGGCATGTGGAACCAGGCTCACTGTTGCTCACCCTTGTAATGTTGAGCCATGGTTTAGTGTTGCATGCCAGCTAGATCATTGTTGGGAAAGTCCGTAGATAAGATCAAATCCGTGAAAAGGAAAATGTTATTCAGATGAGATCAGACAAAAACTGAAATAATTTCCCTCAGAAAACCCTGCTTCTATGCATAGAAATATCCATACTTTTGTGTAGTCAGCTATAGACTTACATTGGCATGAAGTGCAATCATACGCATATTTATTTGGAACTTAGTCCCATTGAATTCATGGGGGTTATTCACAAGTAAGTATGTTCAGGACTACAATCTATGATGAACCATTTCAGCTAGTAGATTAAAACTTAATTACTAATTCTGTGGTGTTTGCTCAGTCCATTCTGTACCCTCAATATCTGCCTTCAAGCACTCCACACAATCAGGGTTTGGGCTGTGCTTCTAGACATCCAACAGAACATGCAGATATTGACGCAAGGTATGCAGTATTGGTGCTGAAGACTGGAAGCCCTTCATGTGTTTGGGGATTGAGTGGACACCCCTTCTCTTGGACTATGACTGCTGCTTTAGAGTTGTCAAGCAATCAGCTTCTGAAAGGGTTATAGGATGAAGAACACTGTTCAGTCAATCTTTAATACCTTTTCTCTGTATTGCCCCCCACACTGTATAAAATGGAGGTCTAGCATACAATTTTAGATGTTGTGACTGAAACACGGTCTAATTACTGTTTATTTTAGTCTGCTGAATGGAGTAAGGCAGTTGTAGTTAGGCAGAGCCCACACCTACAGTAGGCAGAGAGAACCATCTGCATGGCTTGAAAGATAGTATTAAGTTACACATCAAAGTGAACAATATCCCACTTGCCTCATTTTCCTAAAATAGGGGGTGTTTGTGATATGTAGATATGTATCTACTGCAGGGGTGGGCGGCCTAGTTTCCTGTGGGTGGAAGGAACAGAAAAAACAACGGAAAGGGTTTGGTAGACAGAAAAAACAATATGGCAGAAAGAAAGAAAGAAAGAAAGAAAGAAAGAAAGAAAGAAAGAAAGAAAGAAAAGGGGCAGCCCTCGCACTTGTTTCTGGTCACACTGAAAAGGGGAACATGCACTTTTGGCTCTAGTACTGCCCACACAGACTTTGGTCCCATCCACTGCTGGCCTACAATCCCCAGCAGAACCCTTGAAGAAATCCCTTGGCAGGACAGAGGTCCCCACTCCTTATCTGCTGGATGAAGGTGCAACATGACATCTGTGTGATTAACTCTTAAGCAAAGGCCTGCTAGAAAGTGGGAAACAAGACTCTTCTTATGCTTCAAAAAGATTCTAAAAGTTCAGATCTCAACCCAGATCTTTGGAGTTGGTGTAGTATTACCTAAAGCAGGGGTGAGGAACCTCCTGCCTAGGTCCCCAGTGTTGCCTTCCAGGGTTCTCTAGTCCTAAGGACTCTGACTAGGTCCATCAAAAGCAAATGCAGACAAGGCATTGCAAGGACTTAAAGGCCCTGGGACACAGGCCCAGACACAAATTTCCATAAATTTTTCATAGATATCTGGGAAGTTAAGGCTAGGGTTGCCATATTTCAAAAAGTAAAATTCCTTAAGCTTTCTGAGCTGTTTCTGTTGCTTTACCCATTGTGTTGCCGTACATCCAGGGTTTCCATGACATTTTGCTGTTTTGGCAAAATTCCCCCGATGCCATTTTTTACACTGGAAAACCAGGATGTGTCAGGAATTTTCCTGACGGATGGCAAGCCTAAGTTAAGGCAGTGGTGGCTGGGTTTCTTACCAGCAATGTGGTTCACAGTGCACCCAGCTGCCTTTTTAAGCAAAGTAAAAAAATGTAAGTTTTAGAGAAGGGACAGGAGGAAGGAGATCTGTTGTGTAAGACCTCCCAATCAGCCATAATTTTATACATGTATAAGGAAGCACTGCACTAAGATTTTTCACTTTCTACAACCCACTGCATTGTTGGCTTGCTTTTGTATTTATTTGTATTTAAAATATTTCTATGTGGCCCTTCAATGAAACTTTCAGGTTGAGTTATCAGGGAATAATCTGTTGTCTCTTGAGATAGAGGGATGCCAGCAGCAACAACACAGAGGTAACAACAACAAATAAACACCAGCAGCAATAATCATACTGCACAATCAACAAACAGCAGAAAACAGAAATCGTCAAACAGTTAAAAACCAACCATAAAATACAACGGAATGCATGAAACCACAGTTAGGCAAATAAATAGGTCTTTGCCTTGCCCTAAAATGACATCAGAGCTGGTGCCCTTAGATCAGCTGACACTTTGCAAAACATCTATTTTAATACACAACTCTTTTTCAACAGACCATTTCTCCTAATTATACCACCATCTGAAAACTAGGAGAGATTGTGTGTGAAATATTTAAAGGTTAATGAATTTATCACACCAACACTTTTTCTTATTTTGGAAAATGTCCTTTTCAGTTGAAGGAGGATATGTAAATCCCAAAACCCATTTTATAAATAGCAACTCATCTGATTACCTGTGGTAAGTAAAAACTACCCCACCCTCTGGCTATGAACTGGAGAAGGAAGTCTTCCTAAACTAGAACAGCTGATTTATTCCCCTCCCCCCCTTTTAGCTAGTCAGTGTGCAGACTTTGGGAGCGGGAAAGAAGGGAGCCTATTTTCTTCTGGATGTTCATTTGCAAGGACTTCTAAATATACTTATTTGAAAGGATTTTAGTTAAAATCAATGGGACTTGCTTTCAAGTAAACCCTTAAATTACATCACTGCTGAAATATAAGTGCTCGTTCTTACTTTGCTTTTGATATAAATGACACCAGGCCAAAACTTGTAGAACAGGCAAACTGTGTGGTTGTTTCTACCCTGCTTATGGGTATAATGAGTGGCTATTACTGCCTAATGTTGACTTAAACATAAGTCACAATACAACTCCACCTGTTTCAGTTGACTTAGCGGGGCTGCACCGATGCACATGACTTGAGAATAGTAGTCAGCGATTCCCATGTAGACCCAGAGAGAGCAACGTAACAAATATTGTTGCTGTCCAGCAAATTTCACAAACCACATCCAGCATTTCCTAGGATTCCCTTTTAACTAAAGCCATGCACAGTTCTACATTACACACAGTCATTTGTTTTCCTGTTACACTAGACAAGAGCCAAGGCAATAAGGGAAAAAAAATAAATGACCCTTAATGCACAGACGGCCTCAAGGAGGGTTAAATGTGCAGGAGGATTCTAGAAGGGAGGTTGAAGCAAGTCTTGGCATGTCTCTCCTAGTCAGAGGCGAAAGCTATGCGTAAGACTGCAGAATGTCATTGCCACCTCGGATTTCCCTTCAGCTTACTGATAGGAAAATGCCACAGCAGAAAGTAAAGCTGCTCTTACTACATAATTGTTAAGATTGTTTGAGTAACATTAACATGACAGTAGGAAGAGGTTGGCCATAAATATCATGCCTATTTGTATCATTAGGGGTTAGCGCACTTAAATGGAGTTTTCGTATTTTTGTGCAAAGCTTTGCTTTGGGGTGGGCTTCTCAAAATCAGAAAGATCGCTCCAGTAGCACATGGGGGGAATCGTTCAAAGGCCACTGGGAGGTATATTGTGTAAGCTATCACAGCAATGGGTTTAGGACATCCTTAATTCATGGGTCATGTAATGATGCTTTCAGGGACGATTCCTGAAAGTTACCAAGAGCCTATTCAGACATTCAAGAGGGCATATGGTGGAGTCCTCATACCACCTTACGATTCATTTGTGGAATCACTTGTTGGAAAATGTTGCCACATATCCTTTCCCAAAATTCTTACCTCTCCTGAAGATAAAGCTAGATGGCTTATCCCCATTCCATTAAACTTCCTACATTTAAGGGATTCAGATGTTTAAGCACTTTCTTCATAGTTGAACAAGAAAAGCCCATGTGGGAATATTAAGAACAGAGCTTGCATGTGTATCTTCTCCTGACTTTAAGCCCCCACAAGTTCTTTGAACCCTTGAAGAGAACTAAAGACCAGTATGCTAGATTTGGTTAAGGTGCTGTCAGAAATTTGAGAATAACTATTGGGGACAGGCCAACAAAGGTCCGTATAGGTTATAGCTATGGTTTTCCCAGTAGTGATGTATGGAAGTGAGAGCTGGACCATAAAGCTGATCGCCGAAGAATTGATGCTTTTGAATTATGGTGTTGGAGGAGACTCTTGAGAGTCCCATGGACTGCAAGAAGATCAAACCTCTCCATTCTTAAAGAAATCAGCCCTGAGTGCTCACTGGAAGGACAGATCCTGAAGCTGAGGCTCCAATACTTTGGCCACCTCATGAGAAGAGAAGACTCCCTGGAAAAGACCCTGATGTTGGGAAAGATGGAGGGCACAAGGAGAAGGGGACGACAGAGGACGAGATGGTTGGACAGTGTTCTCGAAGCTACCAGCATGAGTCTGACCAAACTGCGGGAGGCAGTGGAAGACAGGAGTGCCTGGCGTGCTCTGGTCCATGGGGTCACGAAGAGTCAGACACGACTAAACAACAACAATTGGGGACGGGCACCATTTTTATCTATACACACAACATTTTACTGCACTGTGTGATCCATCCACACTGATGCTATGATTTCCCGTATCTACTGTGCAGACCAGCACCTGTGCAGTTGCAAAGATGGACTATGCTGCATCACTACATCCAAAACCTGTGTGGGAACATCTTAGTTGGCAGGTTTGGCACTATGCAATGTTAAAGAGAGAACAATTCCTATGTTCCTTGCCGCTTCAGACAAGCCATGCACCAGCAGTGCCCCATGTGTGTGCAGTTTTCCACACTGTCTCATATTAACATTGTTATTGTTGATTCCCAGTACCTAAGATCACCCGTGACCATCACATATCAAACCCCAGTGATATAAATTTTACAGTGCCTTATCTAAAAGACCACACTATTCTGTTGCCAGTCATCAAGTACAGAGAAATCAAGTAAGCTGCATTCATATGTGAATAGTCATTAGCCTTCTAGAGTGCTATGGATCTGGTGTGTTTTAATTTCTTCTGTTTGCAGTTTTAGTATGGTACAAAGGCTACTTTCATGCTTCATTCATGCATCACACTGAGCAGTTATGCAAAAGCTTCTGGGAAATTACATCCAAACAGATTTACACAACACTCCCAGAATATTAGTCTCCTGTCCATCTTTACTAATGGGTTGTTAGTAACCATTATGTAACCATTTATAGTGATTTTATTGGAGGAACAAATATTACCGTTGGATCAGTAGGAATCACAAATCCATATTTTCCAGGTTTAACCCAAGACTGAATTTGAACTTGGATGCATGAAAACACACATGCCCACTGAAAAAAATAACCCCCCACCCAAAAAAGCATTTATAAGACGTTTTGCTCCTGTCTGTTTTTCATATCCATAACCCACATTTTAAAAAACATCCTACCAATGTATGTATTAATTGCACACAAATCTTTCAGTGAGATATATGCAAGAGAACAGTTCATACATCCTATTTCATGCCATTCATCTTTGCTTATAGAAAATTCCATGGTATATGTGTGGGGGAGTGTTGTAAAAAGCTTAAGGACGATAGCATGAATAACTGACACTTTTAAATACATTAGAAGGAAAGTATATGATATATCTGCCATTTACAATTGTTCTGTTTCACTTGGGACACAAAATGTGGAGCAAGAAGGCATACAATTGGCCTTCTGGTTCAGTCACTTGCTTCAGTGTTCATAGACATTTTGCCTAAATTTTATTGTAACTCAACCTCCTTGTTTCTTAGCTTATTCTTGTTGGATCAATCGAACAATCATTCACTCTCTTCCTTCTAACAGCATTAAGGGTATGATCCAGGCAAAGTTAATGATTTTTCAGTTCCATTGGTTGCAGTGGGAGATATGTTGAAAGCTATTCTCACCATAGTTACCTTGAAGGAGGATAAGGTTATCAATAGCAACTAGTAATAATGTTTACGTATTACCTCCAGTGTCAGAGGTTTTATGTCTCTGAATACCTAATGGGCCACCGTGAGAACAGAATCCAAATGTTCTCAAGTACTGAAATTAATGGAATTTTAAATGCTTAGCTTTGCTCAAAGCATGCAATAAAAGTCTTTAAATGACCACAATGATCTCCTCCTTTTTAGACTTATATTTCTAGATTTAACATACCAAGTTCTTAGTCAAATTTATTTTCTAAAAACCACTGGTAATCACAGAAATACAAGCTGGTTGAGGAACATTATAGGAGAAGTGGTCCCCAGCCCATTGGACCCTGTGATGTAAAATTAGATTTTGTCTGATCCTAGTTCTTAGATTCTTCCTTACACAACCTCTCTAGGAAAGGTTTTGCAGGGTGGGATTTAAATCTCATAAATAAATACACAGGACAGTATTCAGCAAAATAGTTGTGCTTACACATACAAGGATCACCACTAGTACAGTGGTACCTCAGGTTACAGACGCTTCAGGTTACAGACTCTGCTAACCCAGAAATAGTACCTCGGGTTAAGAACTTTGCTTCAGGATGAGAACAGAAATTGCGTGGTGATGGCGCGACGGCAGCGGGAGACCCCATTAGCTAAAGTGGTACCTCAAGTTAAGAACAGTTTCGGGTTAAGAACAGTCCTCCAGAACGAATTAAGTTCTTAACCCAAGGTACCACTATACAGTGGTAAACACTAAATAGTCCTCAGATCTGCTTCAGAGGGTTAGGGGAAGTCCAGAAGAGACTTAGGAGTTGTGTAGGGGAAAGAAAGGGGAAGAATGGAAACAGCTTAGTATTCCGTTGAATAGAACCTATGGCTTTTGATCCACGCATCTTGTGATCCCTATGCTCTTTTTGGAATTCAATATCCTTCCTAAAGTATTTAATCCAAAACAGCTCTGTTTTCTTCTTGAATGCTTATCTTAACACTATCAATGACTCATCTATGACTCAGATCCTTGCATGCTCACACACCCTCTTTTGTTCTGAAAATCTTGAGTGTATCCTATCCAAACAAGATTATCTGAGAACTGATTAAAGCATTTCACACCTTTCATTTTGACCAGTTTGGTATCTGAAAGAAGAATGCCATTACATAACTTGACTTGTGAACATTTAAATTTCAAAGTCAGCATAATGCAAAATGCTCAAAAACGTGATTATGGCCAATATCCAGAGGTTCCTTTTGTAGCATATTCATTCTCCTATATTTACAGCTTATAAAATAAATAGTATCTATCCTGGGACGCGGGTGGCGCTGTGGGTTAAACCACAGAGCCTAGGACTTGCTGATCAGAAGCTTGGCGGTTCAAATCCCCGTGACGGGGTGAGCTCCCATTGCTCGGTCCCTGCTCCTGCCAACCTAGCTGTTCGAAAGCACATCAAAGTGCAAGTAGATAAATAGGTACCACTCCGGTGGGAAGGTAAACAGCATTTCCGTGCGCTGCTCTGGTTCGCCAGAAGCGGCTTAGTCATGCTGGCCACATGACCTGGAAGCTGTACGCCGGCTCCCTCGGCCAATAAAGCGAGATGAGCGCCGCAACCCCAAAGTCGGCCACGACTGGACCTAATGGTCAGGGGTCCCTTTACCTTTACCTTTAGTATCTATCCTCTCCAGGGCCATGGTGCTTAAAAATTGCTCATTTGAAAGAAGAAAGGGAGACATAAACCTTTGCTTGGAAACACGACTAAAGCTCTGCTGCTCCTTTTTTCAGCATCAAAAACGCATTTCTTGCATTTCTCCTGTTTCCAACAAAAATAGCAAATACAGCAGAAAAGAATAATTCTAGTAGTATCTGTGAACTGCAGTAACTATTTAAATAGTATGAATTTCAATATCTGGTCCATGACTAAGATGGGGTTCATTTAGCATAGCAGTTAAGAGTATGAGCTATGAACAGAAGTCAGAAGTTCAAATCCTGGCTTGGCCACAAACTTGCTGGGAACTAATCATACTGGTCTTACAGGGAGGCTTGTGAAGATTACTGAGATAAGGTATATGAAGCACTTTGAGCAGTCGTTTAAGAGTCAGTGTGGTAGAATGGTTAGGGCAGGGATAGCCAACGTGGTGCCCTCCAGATGTTGTTGAACTACCATAAGACCCAGGCAACATGACCAAGAGTCCAAGGTGATGGGAACTGTAGTCCAAAAACATCTGAGGGGCATCACATTGGCTTACCCTGGGTTTGAATGTGGGAAATCCAGACTCAAGTGTAATCTCTCTTTCTGTTTGCAGACTTTAGTTTCAAAATGGCAGCAGAGTAAAGCAACTATAAATCCTAAATACAGAGGTCAAATCTGCTCTATGCTTTCCTTGCCCAGCTTGAGTCAGCAGCCCATTATCCACATTTTTAAAAAGAAAGAAAAAAAGATAGAAAAGTGAAGATGGGGAGGTAAGGAAGGCATATGTGATGATAAATCAAGATCAAAGCTTGAGGCTGGAACAATGAGTCAACAGCTTTGGTCTCTTCAAATAACGCCCAAAATTTCTCCCAGGTTTATTCGTGCTTATTCGGGATTTATTATAATTGCATTCACTTTCCCCCCATTTTTTCCTAAATGTAACGTGTCCTCTTGTCTTTATTTTTTAAGAGATATCCAGGATTGTAGAACAATATGTTTTGCCACTAGAGTTGCTCTATTCCTAAAATAAGATGGTTGAAAGCAAAATTTATGCAGGCTGACAGAACCAACTTAATCCACCATCCTACTTCATACTAGATGCAAAGGCAAAATCAAAACAGATGTAGTAGATTGACTGACTTGTTTTCAGAGAACACACACTTGAAGAATATGTCTGGGTGTAAATGTGATCTAAACATTATTTTTTTAAATATATACCATGGTACTTCTTATGAATCTCACTGCTGAGATGAATAAATCTGTCTATTTTATCATCTCACCCACACTGTGAGACAGTCTCTCTCGGCATAGCCTAATTAGTCCAAGGCTGCTCAGTGTGCTTTATGGCAGAGTGAAGATTTGAACCAAAGTCTCCTCAGTCCTACTTAGATACTCTTATTTATTTATTTATTTGTGCATTTTTTTTGACTTATCAGCCACGCACTGCGAAAGAGCCTTTGAGCAATGTAACAGAAAAGAAAATTAAGATCCAAATGCATAGCATAAAAACAAAAAAGAATACATTACAACAAAACCATTACTATGATCAATAAACAGACACAATAAAACTTCAGCAGCAGAAAACAGTTATCAATAAACAACAGAACATCCATCATTATCTGTCAAATGCATGGGAGAAAAGAGCGGTTTTTACCTGACACTGAAAGGATGTAAATGAGGGCATTAAGTGGACCAGAGCTAACTAGGACATCACACTGGAGCCAAGCCTGATGGAAGTGAGAACATGCTCTCTGTATTACACAGAGGAGGGCGATACAGTGGTACCTCAGGTTAAATACGCTTCAGGTTACATACGCTTCAGGTTACACATGCCGCTAACCCAGAAATAGTGCTTCAGGTTAAGAACTTTGCTTCAGGATAAGAACAGAAACCGCGCATTGGCAGTGCAGAGGCAGCAGGAGGTCCCATTGGCTAAAGTGGTGCTTCAGGTTAAGAACAGTTTCAAGTTAAGAACGGACCTCCAGAACGAATTAAGTACTTAACCCGAGGTACCACTGTATTGTAACTTCCTTAAAATGCTTGCTGCAATAGATGTTTGACAAGTATATGAAGTTCAGTAGGGAGAAGGCCTGCCTAATTTCAGCTGGGAGTTCTACAGACTTGGGGCCACAATACTGAATGCACAGCTTCCTGTAGATACATGGCATCTGAGCCATGAGAGACCTCTAACAGAGACTCCTCCAAAGGTTCTGTGATTGGGCAGAGATATAAGGGGTCAGACAGCCCTTAAGGTATGCTGGACCCATGTTGTTAAGGGCAGTAGTCTGCTCCCAGCAAATGTCTTGCTGCAGAATTTTGCACCAGTTGGAGCTTCCAGGCCAGGCCCCAAGGCCCACATAGAATGCACCGCAGTAATCAAGTCTTGAGGTTCCCAATGCATGAATCACTATGGCCAGGCTATTCCTGTCCAAAAACAGCTGCAGTTGGTGTACCAGCCATAAAAGGTCCTCCTAGCCACTGAGGCTACTTAAGCCTCGAGTGACACAGATGGATCTGGGAGTACTCCTAGAAAATGTATCTGAACTTCCATATATTCTTAATATACACTTAATTTTAGATTGGATTTTGCTGTGTAATTTTTGTATAATCCTTATAGGTAGTGTTAGAAAAAGAAATTCCAATTTAGGTATTTCTCTCTCTCTTTAGGACCACCCTTCTTCCTAGCCATGATAATGGTGGCTTGGCACACTTTCTCACACCCTGCTTAAATTTCTCCAAATTATCTTTATCTAAGGGCTCATTCAGACTTCCTTTTGTGCCGCTTTTCTAGGCACAGGTCAGGGCTTTAAAGCTCCATTTCTGATCGGATATTTTTTGTCACGGTGCCTTCCCCAGAGAAAATCCATGTTTTACCACTGAATTGGAGCAAGCAGCTTTATCATCTGAAAACTGTATTACTATGTACTGTGAATGTAGGTTCCCAAACCACAGTCCAAGTGGCTCATTCAGGTCTGCAGCATGTCTGGGTTTCTGGTTGAAGACAGGAGATGGCACATCCATCACATTAAATATGTATTGATGTTAATTGTATTTTAGTTGCTTCTCTTATTTCTTGTATTGTGTTTTATTGTATTACAATATCAATCCCATCGAATACAGTAAAATATATAAGAAATAAAATATAATCAAAATATAATTAAAAATAATAAAGCATCTAGCACACCATATCAACAATTTTCAAGTGGTCCAGGGTGGGTAGTTAGGGTATCACTGATCTAGAACTTCTTAACTTGTATCTAGAAACTGTTGAAAATTCAGTATCAGCTTTATATTGTTCTTCAGCATTCATAAGTAATTTCTGATTTTTCTGCATTAATTTCATAGCTAGAAGATACTGAATCTATACATCCTTGCAATGCAAATACCAAAATTTTAATTTGGATCATGGTAGGGAAATCTCTTTCATGTTTTTGTTGTCCCTGATTTGTTGTGCTAAAATTTCAAAATGTAAATTAAACAATAACGATGAGAAAGTGCATTCCTGTCTGACACATCTTTTTTTTTTAAAAAAATTAATCATTTTTTCAATACAAACACTGTCTGACACATCTTTGCAATATGTATTATGCATGATTCCATTAATCAAAATTCTATCCACAATTTTGTATATATTGCTTCAACAAAATTGCAGAAGTCTAAGTCCTGGTTCGAATTTCTTCAACATTTTAAAGCATAGGCCTCCATTCTATAGAGTCAAATGCTTTTTCTGTACTGTATCTACAAACTAAAAGAATAAAGGTGTGTTTTGCTTCTGTTTCACCTCTATTAAGTTTATCAATTTGCATACAATTTATGACAATTATCCACCTGCCATGAATCTTGTTTGATCCTTTTTTATTTATTCTTCAAGGAATTTATTAACTCTGCAAGCTAAAATGGCTGTCATAATTTTATAGTCAGTATTTTAAAGTGATAAGCTTGCCACTCACCAAGTGCCTACCCTCGAGGACAGCTAGTACTGGACTTGTTCAGCTTTACCTTGTACCCCAAACCGTGTTTTGCTGGTTGGATGTAATGTAAAATCTTTACTAAAATCAAATTAAAATCTACTGAAATAGCTCATGGTGCCCCTCTCACATAATGGTCAGAAATAGATGACTATGTGAAGTGGCCTGACAGTGCAACATCTGAACCCTTTTAGCAAACATTTTTATTTTGCAACATTTAACTACTCTCAATAGAGAGATGGATTAAAATGTCTCCTTCTTCCAACATAGGCTCTGGCTAAGACATCAGATTTAATAATAAATCATATGATTGTGGTGCTGAGGGGAGAAGACACTTCAAACAAGGCAGATTACAGAAATACTTTTTTTAAATCAACCAAAAAAATTTGACTGTCAGGTTAGACAGTAACTAAGATATTAGGCGGAAAACAGAATATTGGAAAATATATGCCCTGAGGAATGTGTACAGAATTCCTTAGGCTTGAAAATTCTGTTTCAGAAACAAAAGTCCACACTGAGTAATTTGTGACATTATAGGATTATTTGAAGTTACTGAACTGAGGTATGAAGTCTCAGTAATTCAGTCTAAAGGGTGATTAAGTCAGTGAAAGTGGGGGGTAGTGCTTTAATACAATCAAATGAAGTTACTTTGATGCACATTCTTTCAGGGAGCATTTCAAGAATTCCAGGCAGGATGTTTACAGATAAGCCAACAACAGGAGCCACCCAATCATAACTTACTAGTTGAGGGGCATGATGGGATTTCAGAAGTATAAAAGAGAGTGTTTTCAGGCAACATTCATTCTCTTCCGCTCTTCTTTTCCAGAAACCACACTCTGCCAAAGCTACAGAATTTTCCACAGGATTACAAAGATAATTGAAGGTAAGTTGTTGTTTTTTTGCCTACATATGTCTTTTCTTTTTATTTGGTAAATTAATTGAAACATCGAATAGTGTCTATAATAACACTAGCAAGTGATATAGCTCTCATCACTTCATGCTTTCACCATATTAAAATAAAATAAGATAATATAATAGGAAGCATCTTAAAAAAAAAAAAGAACAGCCAGTGTGGTGTAGTAGTAAGTGTGTTGGACTAGAACCTGGTGAGTTTGGGTCAGTTACAGTTTCAGACTAACCTACCTCATAGGGTTGTTGTAAGGATAAAATGGGGAGGAAGAAAACCATATATGCCACCTTGAGCTCATCAGAGGAAAGGCGGGATATAAATGTAAGGAAGAAAGAAATAGAAATCTTAATATGAAATAGCAAATTAAGGCTGCTTTCCTATGTAAAGTAAACTACGAGAGAAAATATCTTGCTTCTGAGAAACTGGCGCAGCTTTTAAGGTTGACACTGGTTGTTTTGGTGGAATCACATACTGGTAAATTCACGTTGCATGGTGGAAGGTACTGTACTTCCCATTATCATTCTTCTCATCCTAACTATGATTATTCATGCAACAAGTATTTAAATATGATGGCTTTTATATAGTAAATCAGGCTTCCTCAACCTCAGCCCTCCAGATGTTTTGAGACTACAGTTCCCATCATCCCTGACCACTGGTCCTGCTAGCTAGGGATCATGCGAGTTGTAGGCCAAAAACATCTGGAGGGCTGAGTTTGAGGAAGCCTTTAGTAAATTGACCTATATATTGAAACAAGGAAGTTTAAAATATATTGCTGTTACGTTATATTTATTCTTTCTGTATATTCATATGGAACTGTTTATGTGTGAATGTATTTGGTAAATTTCTTTTTAAGCTTTACTATATTCCAAGCTTTGTAGTTTATAAATCCTAGTCAGCAAAATTATTGGGAAAATAGTTCCCTAAAAAATCAGACTTCAGCTTTAATGGTCTTGGGAACTACACTGATTTCATTTGTATACTGATTCTCTTTCTGTGTTCCCGGTTGAACATAGTTTGTAATATAAAATCATTTATAGGGTTGTTGTTCTTTTTACCCTGCCTTTTATATTTATGTGTTTATTGATTGGTTTTTTTTTATAAAAAAAATTCTCTGTATTAATTATTATAGCAACCAGTTAATATGCATGCCTGTTAGGAAATAAATTAAATTTCAAAATGGTAAAGATGATGGAATCCTTAATCAAAATCAGCTTTACCCTTTTGAAATCTCATATCATTGCTCTAGCAAAGAAAATGCAAATTTAAATGAACCCTTTTTTCCTGATTATTCCCTAAATCCAATCCTATTCATGTTTATTTAGGAGTAAGTTCTATTGAGTTCAACAGGCTTTACTTACAGGTATGTGTGTATAGGATTGTACCCTAAACTACAGCTTATTTAAATAAATCCACCACAACTCAGCCTGCAAAGAGTAAGTTTGAAACTAGTAAACTTGTTGGTTTCAATGCAGTGAAAACTGAGACTACAGCTTGAACACCTGTGCAGGTCCCTGCTTTCACCTGGGATGCACAAGGATGTATATACAATATAGCCTTTAAAAAAAATATTTTATTTATTTATTTATTTATTTATTTATTTTATTTTTATTTATTAAATTCCAAACCACTCTTCATCCAAGGATCACAGGGCAGTTTACAATATAAAAAACACAAAAATACATAACATAATAACAAACAAAAACAATAACCCCCTACAGTTTAAAAGGCAAATAAATGTGGGAGTAGCCTGGATATTCCTCCTTGCAGCGAGGTCATTCCAACCCCAATCCATTATGAGTAGCCTGGATAGCATACTATTTAGCCTGTGAATCAACCCTTGTCATATTATGCAACTGAAACTGAGGGGCAAGGAAGGGCATTCTTTGAACTGATTGCCCAGATAAACCCTAAAATTTGTAGGCATCTGTTAAAACAATTTCGGCTTTGATCTTTCAAACTACACATACAAAGATATTCCAGCTTCAGTTTCAAAGGCCCACAAAGCTATGTTTATAAACCTGTTTTTTGTGAGGAAGGAACTTTTTGGTACAGATGTTTAGAAGTGCCTCTGGAATGTCCAAAGGTGTGGGCTTTGCCTGGCACTAAGATGGAAGGTGATTGACAAAATAAGAAAACCAAGAGAAGCCAATATAGTAAGTTTATTAAGAGAGTTGGATTTGGCAACCATGTCTAAGGAGTTCTGGCTTTCAAAATGTATAAAGTCAGGGAAAAGGTTGGTTAGCCTCTTGTTAGAGGAATCCTTTTATCCTGCTTAATGAAGGGAAGCAACTTCATACAGCTAATCTCCACGCTGGAGCTGTCAAGAGTGCTATTAATTATGTTGCTGCTTTGTTTTTGGGGTTTTTGTGCAAATATCAGATTGAATGAACCATGAAGAGCAAGTTAATAATAACCTCTTTTATTTCTCATGCAGGTTGCTGAAGTCCTGGAGGAAAGTGAGCATTCTTGCAAGCCTAGCGAAGTGTCACTTTGAGGAGGAAAGCTTACACTGGGGCACAGAATTTTGGAAGGCGGGGAAGGCAGCAGCGGTGGTGTGTGAATGCCTCTTTATAACCAATGCCAGAGTCAATAATATGGCATAGATAACAAGAAGGATTTGCTGGAGAAGAGCTACTCAGACTTGCTGACTATTTTTATTCCTTCCTTTGTACCAAAAGTCCCCCCTGCCGCTGCTCAAACACTGCTAAAAGATGCCAGCCAAGACACCCATCTACCTGAAAGCCGGCAACAATAAGAAAGGGAAGAAATTCAAGCTGAGGGACATTTTGTCTCCTGATATGATCAGCCCACCTCTCGGTGATTTTCGCCACACAATTCATATCGGGAAAGAAGGACAGCACGATGTTTTTGGAGACATCTCCTTCCTGCAAGGGAATTATGAGCTCTTACCTGGGAACGAGGGAGAGACAGCCAGCCAGTGCGAAGGCCACAATGAGTTCCTCAGGGCAAACAGCACCTCTGACTCTGTGTTTGCCGAAACGCCTTCTCCGGTGCTCAAAAATGCCATATCACTTCCTGCCATTGGTGGTTCTCAAGCCCTCATGCTGCCCTTGTTGTCACCGGTGACATTTAATTCAAAGCAGGACTCTTTGGGGCCTTTAAGGAATCCTAGGCATAGCTGCGAGCCCGTAATGGAAGAAAAGTTGCAGGGGAAGAGCAAACACTTGGAGAATGGGAAAATATACAAAGATGACATCACATGGGAGCGGAACGTCCCAACATCGCATTATACTAATGGGAGAGACAGTCATTCATCCAGCCTTTCGGAGCAATATGCTGAATGGCAAACAGAGGAGTTATTTGACAATGGCCATCTTTCATGTGATCTAACCAAGACTCAGCCTAAATCAGAAGACTCCCTTTCAGATCTGGCAGAGCCTCTTCTTTCTTTGCAACTTGACCTCGGGCCATCACTTTTGGATGAAGTGCTCAACGTAATGGACAAAAACAAAACATAGAACTTGCTGCTTTTTTGCCTCAGTCATTCATACAAACACAACTGAAAAGTACAGGCGCCATCCAGCTAAGGTTAAGCAATTGAGGCTGCAATCCTCTGCACACTTCTTTGGGAATAAGCCTCATTGAACTCAGTGAGCCTTACTTCTCAGTAAAGCATTGGGTTCACCTTTTGAGGATGAATGGGATGTAAGTGTGCTTAACTTTAGATGGATTGTGATTTGTGTGTTTATATACAAAACCAACTCCCTTTGCAGTAGACAATTTTTCTAAAACAAATGACTTTAAACTATTTTTTTACTTAATTTCCATGATTTTTTTAACATGGCAAATGTCAGATAACAAGAGGAGGTATTTTAACAACACAATTTTCAGCCAATTAAACTGCTTTCTAAGAACCAAGAGTTGTCGTCAACATAATATTTGGATTGATTCTGCAAGTTAGGACAATTAATTCATTTTCAGGAACCCTTTGGTTCTCAAGGACCCTGTGTGTGCCAGGCAGAAGATTTATGAAGTGAAGGTTAAATGTTAATTAGTTCAGCATTACTTAATATGTAACTCTTTCCCAGAATGATAGTAGGTTTTTTTTTTTTTAATTAGCAATGTTTTTCATTCTGGCTGCACTGTTATTGTTGAGTGTTAATGCATAGCTCTGTGTTCAAATGGGAATGGCTTTCTTCTGTTCAACTGTTATGGGAAATATATGTAGCCAATACAAACTGGTGCCATTGAAGTTACTGGAGCCTCTTATGTGAGCTCCTATGCCAATACGTATTCAATCTTAGACAATCCAATTTTTAAAGAGATGAATTACACTCACTGCATTATTTTATGAGCTGAAATCTGTTTTTATGCACATTCACATCAGATTCTACACACACACACACACACACACACACACACACACACTTGCACCAGTGAGCTGTTGCTTGGCATTTTTTTGGAGAGCCATTGTATAAACTGTATATTTGTGTGCATTTATGGAAAATACGTATTTGATCCTTTAGCTTTGTTCCTTTCAGTTACTGACATTGACACACAAATCTTTGAAATTTTGCAATGGGTTATTTTATGATTTTAGAGGGAAGCTCAAAGGAGACTGTGCTGCAGCAGATGGTACGTCAGGGAATATAGTGATGTCCCTGCATTGTTTTAATACTTTGTGCAATACAATAAAGAGTAAAGAATTAATGTGGAAAATCATGTTTCTGTATCTGAATTACACTTTCATGAAGAAGAGGCTTATTTCAAGATGCAGTTGAAACCCACTTACCGTACATTCCCATTACGTTTTACTAGTTCTGTGCTTCAGTAGTGCCAAGAGGAAAATAACTTTCGTACTTTAATTAAGATTATTGCTCTGTTCCACAACTTGCCCACACAGATTTTGCAAAATTCATTCATCCTAATTTGGAGCCCCATGTGTGTTATAGTGAGCTGATGGAGTTCTTCTGTGAACTTCCTCACAAGTGGAGTAAGCAAATGTTTGAACTGGGCCATATTTTCTTATATGGAATTAAAGAAGTATACCCAAGGTTAAGGAAAGGTGTTCTCTTGTATCTTTCACTGCTTGGTGCTACTAGCGGTTCTGATTACCAGAGACCAGAAAAGAAGGACCAAGTATTAGCACAGATGAATTCAATAACCGTGAACTTTCCACCTTCTGTCAAGTCAGCAAATATATGTTTGGAAGGTGTTGGGGGTATGAGAAAATGGTTTCATCTTTGGCAGGACTACTCACTTTCTAGTCAGGGCAACACTTTAGTGGAATCAGAAAGTGCAATTTTCCAGGACCTGTGCTGACCAGAAGTCTGATGTTTTTGGCTGAATTAAGCTTTCTAAGTTAGAGTCAGTCTCTTAAGTTACCTTTAAGAAAACGCTATTCTTTTGAAAGAGATCTCCCACTAGGGAAATATATCAGCTAATCTTACAATTAAGATAATATCCTTCTGTGTTTTGAGTTCTTTGATTATTCCCCTTGCCACTTCACTGGACAGCGAAGATTGTTGTTTAAATAGTAATCTCTCCTGCTTGAGCTCATCAAATCAGAATGCTGACTTTATGAGATCCTGGGCCATTTTCACAGCAGTAGACTATTCCAGGGAAAATTCTCAATAGAAAGCAGATAGTGCTATTTTAAAACCACAAGATAGGGAGAAAGTTTATGATAAAGCTCATTTGCTAATACAAACATCCCTTTCAAGGTTTTCTGGCATTAACTTATGGGGCACAATCCAACCGAAATGAAACACGCTTATAACACATTGGTTTCAGTGAGAAAGTGGAACACATGCTTAGACCTCCCCCATTAAAATCAATGGAGTTTTAAAATGCAGAACTTTGACTTTTTAACACCAGACCAGGGAATGTGTCTATTTGAACATTCAGATCTAGAGCAACGTGAGATATGAAAGAACTTGAGACCCTCACTAGGTTTTGTGACTTTTAAACTTGGTTCACATGGAGATTCACTTTTGGTAACCCAGAAATTATCACAGATGATGATTATAAAGAACAGTTTAAAATATATGTGATAACTTGGGATACCTGGTTCTAGTGGAATATTGAGTCTTTGTCCCAAAGGATAGTGGTAGTACTTTTAAACCTTTTGAGAATTAAAAACTGGAATTAAAGTTACCCTTCTCAGCATTTTGTCAATATCTGCAGTTGTGCTATTGCTTCAGTGCTAAACTTAACTCTGGAACTTTGGCTTTATCTGACGTTCCTAATGTTTCCTCCACAATTTGAAATCCTTAGAAAAGCTTATACAGGCACACAGTATCTTACATTTTTCCTTCAGTAGGAATAGGACTATAGGCACAAATCATCACAGTGGAACTCTATTTTAGTCTATCTTATGTTCCTCCTCAGACTGCAAGAATATTGTCTTGCATGTTTGTTTGGGCCCTGGATAGATTTCATAAGTTGTGATTTACAAATCAAAATCCTGCTGGAGAAATATGGCACCTGAAGGAACTTCAGCCCCTATGTTATAGTGTTGTCCCATTATTGCCCCATTCCAGCACTCATATCAGAATGTCCTGGTTCAGCCACAATACTCTGATGCCTCAATTTAAAGCTCAGCACTTTCCATAAAAATGGCATGGTACTTAAATATTACTTGGCACTGGAAAGCATCGACTCAGCCACATCTTGAATCTTGGACTGAGGATCTTCAACAACGGGCAATCACAAGGACAAGGAACATTTAACCAGTGTTGAACAACATTGAACAGGTGTATACAAGCACGACATTTATTTGTATCTGATCTGAATTTTTGGACCTACTGGAATCAGAAATCTCTCCTGTTTTGTGTACTCTTCCTACTTGCCTCACTTAATTTGTATCCTTTTCCTTCCACTCCATATATATATATATATATATATATATATATATATATATAGTTGTTTAATTGGTTCTGGGGGTAGGTGGGATATTTTGAGCAATCACAACTTAAAATCCTTTTTTTATAATGTGCAGATATGACCGCCAGGAAGCTAGGGCGGTGGCTGTAAGGCTGTTTGGCTTCATTAAAACTAATTTACAACGCCGGCTTCACAAAGTTCTATGATACAAATTCCTTGAGGTTGCTGGAGCACTTAAAACAATCTTGCCTCCGATAAAAGGGGGGGGGGGAGCCAGCAAGCAATCCTCGCTATGTAATTAAAGGATTTAAAAAAGGAATCCATGGAGCTCTGATAAGCACATTTTACATTGGCACCATTTTGGAGGTTTGCACCCAGCAATCAGAACTGTTAAAAGTCTGTTTTGTGTTTTATTCCAAAAATTAATATGTCTCAATAAAAACTTATTTCTAAACTGTGATGATCAAATCTTTTTTTCCCCTGAATTGACAGATATCACAAAAATAAAAGAGGTTTTCTGCATTTCCACATGGTTAACACTGTGCTGTTAATTTAATCAAGGTCAGGGACACAAACAAGAGGAGGGGCGGGGACTAGTGCTCCCTGTTACAGATGATCAAGGGAAAGATAACGGTTGTATTGAAGGTTAATTGATGAAAGAGGGAGGTGCAGCCTGTTTTCTAGCATGAAGGAACCACTGCAGGACTTGGTTTGCTGTGCCCTGGGCACTGAGCTTTTGCTGTAGAGGGAGGAGTCCAACAGAGCTGAAGAAGAAGAAAAGAGTTTGGATTGATATCCCGCTTTATCACTACCTGAAGGAGTCTCAAAGCGGCTAACAATCTCCTTTCCCTTCCTCCCCCACAACAAACACTCTGTGAGGTGAGTGAGGCTAAGAGACTTCAGAGAAGTGTGACTAGCCCAAGGTCACCCAGCAGCTGCATGTGGAGGAGCAGAGACACGAACCCGGTTCCCCAGATTACAGGTCTACCGCTCTTAACCACTACACCACACTGGCTCTGAGAATTAACATGTGGGAAGAGAGGGGGAGATGAGGTTGGGGGTGAAGAGGCTGGGCCCTGAAAAGTGTGCCGGTACTTCTTCTATCATTCTAGAACAATACTGAACTGTTTGGACCCTATTTTGAATTTTATTTTAAATTTAATACTGGACCTCCTCCAGTCCCTCAAAAGCATTTCTGGAATCCCTGATACGGGGCATATCTAGGACCAAATCTAAATCTAGCTCGTCCAAATGGAATGTGGACAATGTAGTATTAAGTGGCTCAGTCATTTTTGACGATGAAGGTCCCACTCCCAATGCCTCCTTTTTTAAAAAAATTAAAAGGTAATATGGTAGTGAGTAGGCAATAATGAATTATAATATTGCTGAATACCAGCATCACAATAGTGATCCTAGTGCTACCCCACAGCTGGTCCTGGATTAATTTTGCTTGTGTAAAAAGATCCTTTTGCTGATTTCAGAGTACATATCATCTGGTAAATATTTGGTGAAGACTGAGTTTTAATATGCGACTGACTTACTTGTTATTGCCGTAAGTAGAAAATCACCAAGATAGGAAGCAGTCCTCAGTGTAATGCGTAAACAATTCCACTAGAAGAATAACAGAGAGTCATTCAGTTGTGCTACGTGCAACTCAACTAAATATAGTTAAACTGAGAGAGTTAGAGAAGGGTGCATGGTTTTCATTAGACAATTAATTGGACAATTTGCATGACACCACTTTCCATCATTCTATTGCCACAGGCTCTATTGAGAATCCCACTGACACTTTATGATGGATGACAAGCTTGGGTTACTCGCTTCTCTCTTCCATGGGAAAACTCAGGAGGAAGGGACAGAGGAAAGAAAGCAGAGAGGGAAAATACATAAGTTGTGGCAGCTTGGGTTGAATAGTGGCGGCATCCACCACCCCATTAAATTCCAGACTCTGCCCCAGTGTGTCACTAAATTAAACGGGAGGCAAAACTAAGCAGGGCACATTCTCTGGGATTCACTGTAGGGAACTCTAAAGAGGAAAGATGGGGAAATGCTAGGACGGCAATCCTGTTCACACCTCACTGAGAGTAAATGCCACTGAGCTTAGCAAGACAACTCCAGGTAACTCTGCACAGGACCAGGTTGCATAGTACATGAAACCCTAAGAAGACCCTGTTGGATCAGGTCAACAGCCCATCCAGTTCAGCATCCTGTTCTCACAGTGGCCAGCCAGATGCCCATGGGAAACCTGCAAGCAGAAGTTGGGCACAAGAGCACTCTGCCCTCCTGTGATTTCCAGCAGCTGGAATTCAGAATCATTGCTGTCTCCAACCGTGGAGGCAGAGCACAGCCATCATGGCTAGTAGCATTCAGTAGCCATCTCCTCCATGAATTTGTCTAATCCTCTTTTAAAGCCAACAAAATCGGTGGCTACCGCTGCCTCCTGTAGCAGAGAGTTCCATAGTTGAATGATGTGCTGCGATACAGAAAGGCTGTAAGTGGTAACAGAATAAGAATACAGAAATGTATCCATGCAATAATATTATCTGGGCGTTCAGCTCTATTCACTCTATTTCAACTCCATCCCTGTCATTGTATCCCCTTTCCCCCACATGCCCAGTACAGGGACCCTACACATGTAGGGTCCTATTCACATCATCCCTCAGTACATGGATGGCTGACAGAGGACATGGGGGGGCATGGCCAGTAGATGCGGCCCTGATCTTCTTTTTAAAAAAATAACATATATATATATATTTAAGAACATTATTAGGGTTGGTGTTTTTTTCCAAAACAAACAAAAAATACTGAAAACACAGCATTATTATTATTGTTGT